ATTTCAGAAATAACTCAATAGTTTTGGCTCTTAAGCAATTATCCGGTATTCAAAAAAGAAAAAAGAGAAAACGAGATGAAGAAATGAGAAAGTCTCAAGCGGGAGCTCTACATAAGTTTATGAAACCTGTTGCTGAAGACGAAGAAGTAGAAGTAAAAGATTGAAGAGCAAGAGCATCTACAAATAGACCAAGAACATGTTGAAGACGATGAACATGTAGAAAAAGAGGAAGAAAATTTAGAAGAGGCAAAATAACATCTTGAGCCTATGGTTAGTGTTATGCATACTGTTGTCGATATATTTGATCCAAGAAGAAGGGAAGGACTTAATTATTAAGAGATTAAACTTTTGGTGGAGAAAGGTCCAAAAAGAGATCATAGTATTCACTATAGTCCATTCGAAAAAAGATGGACAAAATGGTAGACGCTTTTCTGCAGCATTATATACAAAAACTTTACCAAATATGGAGAAATGTGATAGAGGATGGCTTGTATATTCGAAAGAAGTAGACATGATATTTTGTTTCTGCTGTAAGCTGTATAGAACAGGAATTCCAAAAGGAAAATTGGATGGTGAAGGTTATGCAGATTCGCACCATGCTCATAGAAGAGTCAAAGAACACGAACTTTCAATGGATCATCTCTCCAATGTGAATAGAAGGCTTGATATGCGTAAAAGATTGAAGATGAATGAAACAATTGATAAAGTTCAGCACGAGCAATTCAAGAAAGAAAGAGATTACTAGAAACAAGTCATTTTCAGAATCATAGCATTAGTGAAGTTTTTGCCTAAACATAATTTAGCATTCTATGGCTCAAAAGAAAGATTGTATCAAAAAGGTAACGAGATAAAAATGTTTTACTTTTAAATGTTCCACTTTCATAAAATGTCATGTTTCTTAATTCTGTTTACTTTTTAACATGTAACAGAAATTTCTTGGGTCTCATTGAGATGTTACAAGAGTTTGATCCAAATATTCGAGAGCATGTGCGATGAATCACAAATGATGAGCTTCATGTGCATTATCTCGGCACAAGATCAAGAATGAACTCATACTTGATTTAGCCCAATAGATTAAGAAGGAAATCATCAAGAAAATAAAAGAAGTCAAGTACTACTCAATCATATTTGATTAAACCCCTGATACAAGTCACCAAGAAGTATTTAAACTTCTCAGGTAATTCTATTATTGTGCATGGAAGAGTCCTTTTTAGGCTTCTTGAATGTTAATGATACCACCGGAAAAGGACTATTTGATGTCACACTTAAGGGGTTAAAGTCTCTTGGTCTTGAAATTGATGATATTCGTGGTCAAGGTTATGATAATGGGGAATATATGAAAGAAAAACACCAAGGAGTTCAAAAGAGATTTTTGGATATCAATCCCAGAGCATTTTACACTCCTTGTGGTTGTCATTATCTTAATCTCACATTATGTGATATGGCTCAGAGTTGTGTTAAAGGGAAAAACTTTTTTGGAGCCATCCAAAAAAA